AAATAAAAATGAAGCGTATTTTATTTGATTGGTGTTGATGTCTATAAAGATGAATTAACCAATGCATTATTCAAAACAAAATCTAATATTAATTAGATGAATATGCATGTTACTCCCATTTAATTATTATTGTTGTTATTATTATTATTATTATTTATTATTATTACTATTAATATCAATTTCAAAATATGTGCTACGAAAAATAAAAATGAAGCGTATTTTATTTGATTGGTGTTGATGTCTATAAAGATGAATTAACCAATGCATTATTCAAAACAAAATCTAATATTAATTATTAGAAAATCTAATTTGTTCAAATTGATTCATCACGAAAGACCAAAATGTTATGCTTAAGTGGTTTTTCCTTCAACAAATTTAAAATAATATCAATCAACTATTTACGATTAATTGATCAAGTCTCATTTTATTCAATTAAAGAAAATTGAAATTCAAATAGATATCATACAATAATATTAATATAAATTACCTTTGATCTTCAATATGTAACTACATCTAAGCAATATTACTACCATTTATTTGCCTTTTTTTGTGGAGTCCCAACACCAACTAAAACTTCAATAACATCTAAAGTTTTAATAAAAATATATTCAATAAAAATAAATCGTATATTCTTTTAATAAAATTATATTAAAATAAAAAAATTACCGCTAAGGAATTTCTTCTTCTTCTTCTTCTTCTCGAGTGGATTCAGAGGGTTCAAATACAAATCTTAGGATGACTGTGACTTTTTCATTAATTCAATTTTTTGACAATAGTATCAGGATGGTATTGTTATAAGAGACAATACCATATGCGTCCTTACTCTTTTCCACAAAAATTTTTTTCATGTAATAAACATTTTCTTTAACCAATTTATCTTTAAATTATAAGGCATTGGAACTCCAAGTTACAACATGATAAAATTTGTCTGCAAACAAAATAACTATTATTAATAGAAATCATTTAGTACCTAAAAGACTAAATGTAATAACTCATAAAATTACCTTATCATCGACCAAAACCACTTCAGTAGTCAGATGGTCTCTATCATGTTTCAAACTAAAATCATCCTACAATCTTCATATTCGTACTTTAATCTTCCAATCTTCTTTATAAGGTGAAAGTTAATCAAGAAATACATATTCTATATCTTTTGCAATTGATTTATCCTCAAATATTTTAGAAACTTTAGCAATAAAATATTTCAAAGTAAGAAAAAAGATGTAACATAATTAGGAAAAAAACATATTGGTAGTTAAAATCAAAGACCTATTCACAGTGCGAAAGAGCAATCTAAGCAACTATCCTTTACAAACAAAATTTGAATTTAGAAAAATCTTTAAAACAAAACAACAATTTAAAAAAAAAAGTCTCACTTACAACAACTATGAAACAGCTTGCAAAAAAAATCTTCAGAAAAATAAACGTAGGGAGTCTAAATAGTTGATCATTGACTCTTCATTTTCTTTTTGTTAGATATTTTTGTTTCCATTTTTGAATATTTAAATGGTTTTGCCTCTTCATCTACTAAGAAAAACTAATTAACTTGTCTCTTCACTTATCTTACTATTTTAAGTTTTTATTATATTTTATGTAAAATTTATGTAAATGAATATCCTATAATTAATACATAAAAAGTAGCATTTTATATAATTATATTTTTATATTTTATTATTATATTTGATGTAAATTTTATATTTTTATATAAAT